ACATTTGAGGAGATATATACACACACTTGCTTTTGTGTCCTTTATCATATTAACATTTTTCCATATCATTAAAAGAGGCTTTTAATAAATAAAATAATTATTCAGCCCCTTTAAAGTATGTAACCATTTCTTTATTATTTGTTATTTGGGTTGCATATAGTTTTCCACTGTAGACAATAACAATTTTATACAAAATGCTGTATTTTCTATTTTTATTTCATTATGTGAAATTTATACAAAAGTATAATTAGTAAAAGAAATGCTATAAACACTTTAAAGGTCCTTCATACAGATCTTCCAATTGTTTTCCAGAAAATTCATTCTACCTTCACCAGTAGGATATGAAAAAAATTTATCTCACTATACCTTCACCAGCTTCACAACAATGTTTAAATATTTGATAATTTTATAATGCAAAGTGTTATCTTAATTTTTATTCCTTTTGTAATCTATTTTTCATGCATTTATTAGCCTTTTCTTCCTTATGTATATCATCTATTCATATCTTTTATACTGGTCTTCATTTCTGATAAGTTTAAAGATTTTTTCAAGTAGTAAAGATATTATTTCATTGTCATATTTACTGAAGATATTTCTCCCAATTTTCTCTTTGACTTCAATTTTTGTATATAATGTTTTTGATATGAAGAAGTCTCCAGTGTTTTTCCTTTTTCCTTTGAAATTTCTTAAATTGTTTTTATGCTTATAAAGTGAATAACTCCATCCAGAAATGAGGTAGATACACATACTTACTCCTAAGTATTTTTTTTAATATTTAATAGTTTATATTAAATTCATTTAAGGTATGAGATATAGATTTTTTTTTAAATAGATCATTTTTCTAACACTATGTTCAGAATAATTTTATGTATCTGACACTCATCCTTCCTCCAGATAACACTGAAAAATATTTTTTTCTTCATTGGTTGTAATACCTCTTTGATCATATACTAAATTTTTATATATATTAGGGTCTTTTTTTCAGGTACCTAATCTCTACTGTGAATTTGTTCCACCTATTGTTGAGTCACTATCATTGTGTTATAATATTTTGATATCTGCCAGGCAAGTGTCTTTTTGACTCTTCTTTTTTACAGTTCTCTTAATTATTACTTCTTGTATGTTCTTTTAGATTAGGCTTGTAGCCATTTTGGTCATTTCCAAAAATTAATTACTCATTCAAATTTTTATTAGAATATAAAATATCTAAATTAATTTAAGAATTGACATATTTATAATATCTAGCATTCTTATCTAGGCATATGGAATGTAATTTCCTTTAAAAGTTTCTTTTATACCTGTTGTTTTTTTTTCTAAACAGGTAATATGCTTCTCGTATTATAACTGCTCCTGAATATTTTGCATTTCTGCTGGCTTATGCCACTTCAATTTTATAATTTTCTACCTTTCTTGTCTTTCATGATGACTGCTGATAACCTCTCTTAATAGAGGATCTGTGAGAAAATTAAGTTCCACAGAAAGTGATTTGAGTAACCATTTTCTCAATTATCCCAAGAATGGCACTTAGTACCATTCTGCTTGCATAAAAGAGTCTATTACATTCCATCAGTGTCTTGGGGCACTCAGGCTACATTCCTTCTGGGAATCCTAGTTGGAAATACTGGCACTTTCTTTAAGCTCTTCAAACTCCTACTTTCCCTCATGATTTTCACTCTCAGCAGATGTCTTAAACTACTACCCCTGAGAGAAATCCAAAACCACCAAGTAGAAACTACCTCAACTTCCTGCCACAAAATCTACAAGGCTCCTTGAGCTTATTCATTCCTCCTTCCGGTTTCAATGGAAGAAGTGCTCCTTCTCGCCAGGGCCAGTTTCTCCACTCTGTAGCTCTTCCCTTTGACTTCCTTGGTGACCTGTGCTCTCAACTTTTCCCTCTTTCATATCTTCATTCTCTATCCTCTACTAGGTCTGTTTTAACAACAGAACATTAGTTAATCTAATCATCCTTCGAGCTAAACTCCAAGTCCTTTTCCAACTATTGCTCTCAACTTGACTAAATTTCCTACATTTGATGCCACTCATTTCACAAACCAATCAAACCCCAATTCACCACTTAAACTGTTCTCCCTGAATTCATTAATTACCTCAACGTAACTAATTCCACGGATCCTCTCTAGTGTGTATCTTGATGCCCTGTCAGCACTATTTGATAGTAGCAAGTATCCCTTTCTATTGGAAGCATTTTTTTTTCCCCCTTTGGCTTTTGTGACTTATAGTCTCCTCCTTCTCTTCTTACATCTCTGGCTCTCTTGGGTCATCTTGCTGACACTCTTCCTCTTACCCACTTTTACAACTCTTTTCTGGTACTCTCTTGTCTTCTCATTCATTTTTCCTCCAGGTATTTTTATCTATTAGCATGGCTTCAGTCACCATCAAAGGAAATTTCTAGGTCCTCTTTTCCAGTTACATATATCCAACTGATGATTTCAAATTTGCACTAGATGTTTTACGAACACATCAAATATGACAAGTCCCAAACTGAACCCATTATTTTTCCATTCTTTCTACCTGCTTCATCTCCAATATTTTCTGACTAAAATTTGTTGATTCTCTCCATCCTTAGGGTATTACCCAAGACCAGACCTTCTCTTACCCAGACTATCCCTATAACCTCCAATGGATCCACCAGCTTCCTTTCTTACAGTCTTCTACTTGAGCCTCTCTATCACAGCCAGAATGAGTTTGACAAACCAAAGGTCTGATGAGATCTTTCCCCTGTAATGACTTCCCATAATAGAATGCTTAACCTAATAAGGCCATGCACAACCCAACCCTCACCAATCATATTGATCTACTCTCTACTTCATTTTACACTTTAGCTATGCTGAAATTCCCCTATTTTTTTTTCAACCGCATCATGCACCTCTTGCTTGCCTTCACATATGCCTGTGGTTGACATTTGGCAATGGTCAGAGACATTTTTGTTTGTCACAATAAGTATGAGGGAAGGTGCTGCTGGAATCTAGTGGGTAGAGGATAAGGATGTTATGATGCTTGTAAATACTCTACAATGCACATGACATCTTTCACAAACAGAATTATCTAGACCAAAATTTTCATAGTACCAAGGCTGAGAAACCCTGACTTATGTCATTCCATGTCTGAACCACTCTTCTTGCCTCTTCTACTCAGCTCCTCCTCTGAACTCCCACTTATTATCAGTTCTTTCTTTAAACATCAATTCCTGTGAAGAATGACCTGAACCTCCTAAACTCAGTTAACCCCCAGGACATTTTTATGCAAGTAATTATAATTATGCAAGTAATAATTTAAAAATATAAAATTATAATAAATATATAATTTAAATTATAATTACTTTTTCAAGATATATTTTCCTGCTATACTATAAAACTGTAAAGTTATCTAAGGGTGGGACTAAATCTATCCCTTCACCATGTTGTTGCCTAATACATGTTAATACCATATATCTGTTAATTACTATCTTGACCATGGGCTTTAAAAAATAGAACCTTACTCTGGCTTTTTAAAAAAGCAAATACAACTCCCAACCTCATTTTTTTTAGCTGAAAATTAGCATGTTAGCACCTATTCTCTGTATCTCACAATTATTAATGTTCAAGTGAAGAAGTATATATATATCAGTTTGTACTGGAAGTCTTGTGTCCTGAACAAAACATAGGTCACCCTAAATACAAAATAATTTTTTTCACTTCAAATTTGTTATGAAAATAATTTATTATCATTTTAAAAGGTATTTAGAGTGTTTCTGAGCTTTTAGAAAGTGCTTACTTTTGTTAATTTCTATAATCATCATAATAATGATGCACTGTTATTTCTTCAGATATCTATGGAAAATTCATAGTCTATATAGCCTAATCAGACAAAATCTACAACTGACTGTAGTATACTCTTTTAAAGAGGAACAAGTAGACTTGAAAAACATTTTGATTGTGTTCCATGAGGCAAGGCATGCTATACATGTAATCTATCTGCTGAGGGCTTGCTAGTGCCTTCAGCCCCATCAAACTGATAGAAAGAACACCTAAGAGAAATTACTTAAATTCCCTATTGACATAAACTTTAGTCAACCGAAGTGAATTTCTAAGTCAATATTTTTGCAGTTTCACTATTGTTTATCTAATAAAGAGCTATTATTTCATTGATAAAAAGAGCAATCTGGAGGATTTTTATCTTGTAATTAGCCATTAACTGTATTAAAAGCACTGGTGGAAAGAAATTGGCCATTTGAGAGGGTTGGGGGCTTTCTATTATTCCTTAAGATAATACGCTTGCATCATTTCACCAAACTAATGGAGTTACACTTCACCTCAGGCCCAGATTCATCGCACAACACATTGTCATGTGCCTTTAGTTCTGAGTCACCTCTTTTTAATCATTAGTTAACTTGAGAATAATGAAGGCCTTACCATGTGCCTAATTAGCCATGCAGTCCCTAATGGCCGTCTAACTCATTTAGATAAACTCAGTTTGCTGATCTGTTCTTTAAGGAGGGGGCAGAGAGGAAGCCTAGAGAGAAAGATTATATACAAGTATGTGTGTGTATATACACAAGGTAGTAAAATAAACCATAGTGTAGCTTAGCATTTGGGCTTCTTGATAACTATTAAAGGTTTTGTCTAAATGGGTATAGTTCGAATGCCAATTCTTTCCATAACTTCAGCTTAATCTTTTTGTTTATATTTAAGCAGAAATCTTTGGGACCAATAGTAGCCATTTTTAAAATTTTTGTTAGCAATCTCCTAAGTATCTGATACTAGGTAAGGGTAACCAAAGAATTTTCTCTCTTAGTTAATCAGAAATTGTTTGGTAGATCTATGAAAAGAATCATGCATTACCTCCAAATCTAATTTAACTGCATCTAAAGTCCTCAGTCAGTCAATGGATTCTTAATAAATAACATTTATTTCTATATTTGCCAATGGCAATGATTAACACATATTCCTCAGCTTTAAGACATATGTTAGCAGAAATAAAATAAAAGTGAAAATAATTCTTACCTCATTCTTTAGCTTGCTTCCAGAAAACCTTAAAAAATCAGTACATTTTCCATTAGTTGAAAAGATACAGTTATAGCATTCAAGAATATGCAGAGGACCTAAAAAAAAATAATAACTCCATGCCATGAATATTGAAACAAGCTGAAGGAATTTGTTTTCTTCAAAGAACCCAAGCATCTTTCTCAACTAACTAAAAAAAAAAAAAAAAAAGTTCTTAGGAAAAAATAAAATGAAAAATATTTAGGAAAGCCAGGTAAGTTCTGAGACAAGTATAAAATACTTGATATTAAACATTTCTGTGTGTTCCAGCCTACATTCACATTTTATAGTGGAGGAGTGGCCAGTAAGCCACCATTATGATCCATGTAATATCTAAATTTATCTCAGTAGGGCTCAGGTGACTAAAATTATTTTTTTCACAGATACTTTAATTTTAAAATAGTTTCTTTTTTTAAGAACTAAGAGCAACTTTTAGTAAACCATTCCATAAGGCAGTCTCAGATGCAGATTTAATTTCCCAGAGTATCTGTTTTTTAAAAATAATTGTGTGTTTTCACTGGTCTCATTGTGTGTTAACTCACTCATTTATAGCCTCCTCCTGATGGATAGCAGTGGCTGAGAGCAATGAGAGCTTTATTTTTATCCATTTATTTTCCTTTTTTATAGACCCAAACATGTCAGTACCTTTATTTTATGGAAGTAAGAAAGTATATGTGATTAGAAATTATTGTAATAAATGTTTCATCTTGGTAAGATACTAGTCAAACACACAGATCTTTAGAACAAGCCATCTCTTACAAAAAAGTTGCATTTTCTCCATTTATTTTATTGAAACCAGCATAAAAATAGACTCAGACATATGAATAAATACTAATTTAAAAGCAATTGTGCTTCCTTAATTTCTTCTCTTCGTCTCTCTGAAACCAATATTTTCTCGTTATTTATTATTTATTAATTTCTCATTAATTATTACAAATTTTATAATTTTTCCCAATGATCTAGACTATACAATTATAAATGTCATTAAAGAGTTGACATTAATGTCTGGCTCTTATAACATTTTGATAAGCAAAATTAGAAAGTAATTTTATTCAATAGATATCATGCATATTTAAAGAAATGCAGAAAATTTGTCTTGAAGATGGTGTAACTCTACCTTGTCAGGCCCTTCCCAGAATAAACGGAGTGGTAATATGCACTGCTTTCTTTGATGCCAATCCCATAGTAATGATACCTAAAGCAAGGATAGGAACCAACTGTGCATTAATCAAGGAGATTTTTGAAGGAGAAAGCAAAACTAAGGTATAACTGAGGCAACCACAAGTAAGAACTGCCACCCCTTTAAAATGACCTTCCTTTTCCAATTTTTTTAAGGTAAGTAGTATCTTGATGTGCTAAATCCTTCTCTGATATCCAGTAATGCTGCATATGGTCATATTTCTGGCAATAGGCTTTTAAAAGATAGGAGAATTACCTACTGCTAATCTCTTTAGATCCTCTAAAATATTAGATTCTAAAAACCAAAAATTTGTAAATGTAGGCATTGACTACAAGTATATCAGCTGTATGTATTTGCAAATTGCTCGGGTCAGCATGAATTTAGTCAATTAAACAAGAAAATGCTATGATTTTCTTTACAATATATCTATTGGATGGAGATAAAGGTATAACATATATGAGGAAGATATTGTGTCATGTACAGGAATATGTATGAAGAATGTGACTTTATAATGTTATTTTCCTCGTGAGAAATGAAAAGCCCAATTCACTGTCCTTTTTACTCCAAATTTTTGTGCAGTAATGGAGATAAGCTATGTTACAAGTCAGTGGAACTATGACACATGGAAAGCAACAGTGCTATGAATAACATGTTATAAATATGACAAGGGATCCTGAACCATAAGACAGGTATAGCATGTCATCAATTCTCAAATTATAGCTCATTCTCCTAAGCCTCAGACTCTTGGCATATTACACACCCAAGTACAAATACTACAAATACTGTACCAAAGCTAGTGAAATAGTGGGCATTTAATGAGTAGTCAGAGTCCTCCAACATGTGCTTTCTGTCGTCAGTCCCCACCCTCCGTCCTCTCTCTATCTTGAAGCACCACTATCTACTATTTACCTTCTCATTCAATTTTCATTCATCTTAGATCAGAAAATGAATGAAATAAATGAAAATGAGAGGGTTTCTAGTGGACTGGAATACAGTCTAACTACATTTTAAAATGTCATTTCTTAGCAACACCATCTGAATTTAAAATAGACAAGACAATGAAGGCTTTAAGTTTCAAGGTCCTGCTTCTGACCTCAGCAATAAAAAAGGACTTGGCCAAGTAATTCCACCCCTAAACATTCTAGTGACCTGGGACAAGAGTTCAAATGGAAACCTACATACTTTATGTCTAAATATTTGAAAACTACAAATCAAACTGACAAAGTATTCTTGACTTCCTGCAATGACAATTTACCTCCATAAGGATCTGGTAGGTAGATTCTAATTTAGAATTCTTAAGGCTCCTGGAGTGGGAACGTGGCAGTGGGAGAAGACCCCCCCCCTTACCCTATTTCTCAGCCATTGCTCTTTTGCTTACTGTGAAGGAATTGTACATTCAAGACCCGACCACATCACCCACAAACAGCTGCCCCCCAGCACTCCTTATTGTAGTTCTATGAACACCAGTAGAGCAGTCTGGATTTTTGAGGATGGATTGGGAACATGCCCCACAGAGGCCCAGGACGCAGGACCGGGGCTGACATTCAAAGAATTCCAGGGCTCCCAGGACCCCACAAAAGGGATGTGGGTTTTAGATAGACACACTCACTCAGGCTATGAACTTCCTGTCTCAGGGGAGGGAGCAGCTGAAGGACAACCAGACAGAGTTCTCTAGAGCATAAGGCACAGACATGGCTTCTTTCTTGTCAGCCTCTAAGGGCAGGACTATGGCAGCAAGTTGTCTCTATTGATTCAGATCATTTGAGATTGAGGGAAAGAAGATTTTAAACATCAAAAAAATGCATATGTTACAGCAAATGTTTTCAGAAAGAGTTTTTACACTTGAGAAAGAGTAATGTGGGGTAGTCAAGGTAAATGAAGATATTTTATGATTGTGACAGACTGGAAAGAAGTTCTCAAATCCTCAGTTTTGGTAGAAGGATTATAATAGTCTATTAATCTGAACATAGGAGCCTCATGACTTACATCAGATAAAAAAAATCCTGTGGTAGATGAAGAAAAAGAAACTCTAAGGTGTATTGGAACAAAGAGAACAATGAAGAAAATATAAAACTTACGGAAATTCCAAAGTACTGAACTGAGTTCCTCTCATTAGAAACTAAAAGAAGGAAGCTTGTTTAACTCATAAAGATGTTACCAAAAGAGCTATGTTAATAGAAGTAGATAAGGGAAATATTTTTAAATCATGATTAAAAGAGTAGATTTAGATGACAGTCTGCAAGTATATTAGTAGGATTCATTTATGAGGCTGAGAGTCTGAAATAAGTATTAATATTTCCTTTATTAGATTTCAGGACTAAGATACCAAAGGAAGTATCTATACATTAGAATAAATAAAGCAAGTAATGTTTGAGAACAAAGGGATCTATTACAATGTAAAGATATTGTGATTTCAAGCTCTCCTGCAAAGCTTGCTATTTGTTTTACAGACTTCATAGTTTAAGTAACTATATTTTAGCCACTTGCTAAAGCAACATATTATGTTAAGAATTGCTTAAAAGTTGTAAACTTTTTATGTTACAACTTAATTTTCTCGTTTCTCATCTCTAATCCCTTTTTAACATAGTAAAGTAGTCTTCCATGCAGACTGAGAAAAAAATGCATTAACCTTTACAGGTGGTAGACAAAAATCAAAGACAAGTCAAGCAGATGGCCATGAGTTCAACACATATTAGAATATATGTTGTGTCCTGACCACTGTGCTAGTTGTCAGTACAATGATGAACAAAACAGACATTGAAAATCTGGTCATGTTTCCAAATTTCACCCTAGTTCATGGCCTCCCGAGATTGCTGATCATGGAACAATGACCACAATGGCCAGCACTGAGGCACATTCTACTTCCAGTTTTTAAAACCACTTGATATTCTGTTTTTTAAAAAACTGCAACATTTTTAGGACTCAGTAAATAATAACTAATATAGATTTGTACCTTTTTCTTACTTATGACTTTTAAGGAAAGAATGTTTATATTACAAATTCATTTGTTTCTTATTTTTATAAATGACTGTGTTGTTTGGCCTCCTCATTTGTCTTCCCAATAATTAGGGCAGAAAATCTTTACAAATTGAAGTATTTAATGGCTCTACCTACATTCAGAGTCAGGATTTTATATATGTCCCCCAAAAGTCCTCTTTAAGTAATGTGTGTATTTTATAATAGATCAAATATTAATGACATTCTCAACCAGTCACAAACTGACACCTGAGGAAAATAACATGGCCAGGCTACATTCAGCTCTACAACTGAGAAACAGCATGTCCTTTTCTCATTAGCAATGCCCAGAATGTGGACATGTTGCTGTAGATGAGACTATTCTATTAATAACACCTTATGAACATGCCAGGAGATAGGGAACATGTATTCAGTGCTTACCATGTGCTAGATACTAAGTATTCAAAGAGAAATAGAGGAGGATCTCTGGAGGAGTTGACAGTCTTGTAAGAATGCAAAGAAAGAACTTTAGCACCAAATTAATATGCACTACAACTGAATCAGGTGATAAGTTATAATAGATACAGTTACCATTTATTATCTGTTATATGCAAAGAATTATAAATACATGATCTCAAATTTCCATAGCATGCTGCAAGTAGGGTATTATCCAAAACAGATGCTCAAAAATCAGGTGACTTGTTTGAAAATGGTGAGTAAAAAAGTTTTGAGTTTGAACTGGGTGCAGTAGCTTATGCCTGTAATCCCAGCACTTTGGGAGGTAGACGCAGGAGAATCACTTACGCCCAGAAGTTTGAGACCAGCCTGGGCAACAATGTAAGATCTTGTCTCTGGAAAAAAAAAAAAAAAGCCAGGTGTGATGGTGCATGCCTGTAGTCCCTGCTATTTGAGAGACCGAGGCAAAAAGATTGCCTAAGCCCTGGAGGTCGAGGCTGCAGAGAGCTGTGACTGTGCCACTATACTCCAGCCTGGGCAACAGAGTGAGACTCCAACTCAAAAAAAGGCATGAGTTTGAAGGCAAAATTCAAACCCATGACTCCACAGAACACTCTTCATAGCCTCCACACTCAAGATACAAAAGATATATCTAATTTTATATCTTAATTTTATGTATAATTGGGAAGTCTGAAGTGGAATATAGTTCAAATGTTTGCATTCATGCATGCACACTTTCTATTCTAGTTTAGTAGGAGTAAATAGTAAGCATGGATAACATGAACCGTTAAGACCTACACCGTGGATCTGGATGTTTCATATGTGGCACCCCCAATATAAACAAAGACTCCTTCTAGAGTATAAGCTTCCAAAATAGGAAATCAGTAAATATTGATTAAGTAAATGAATAAATAACATGAAAAAAGTTAAAAACAACAATTTTCATACAGAAAATTATTTTTAAAAGCATTTGTCAATTAAGAGCATGTATATAGCATTGCACAGTTAAATATATCAGCACAATTTGGAATTTGGTAGAAATTAAAGAATCTCTTATCTAACACCATGTAAGGAAGTCCACTAACTCCTTTAACCACAAGTGCTGTATATACTTACATATTGCTATCAGGATTACTTGCTCTCTCTCCATAAACTGGTCCCAAACTGGTCCCTTTGTTTTGTTGAGCTATCCAAACTGGTCCCTTTGTTTTGTTGAGCTATCCAAACTGGTCCCTTTGTTTTGTTGAGCTCTCTATTGGGAATGCACTTCTTCCATTAAGTTCTCATTTTTTTATCCATGCTTCAAGATACAGCTTTAACACATGAAGCTTGACCTGGTATCTCAGGCCAAACTCCTGAACTCCTCTGATCTCCTCTCTTCGTCATTTATCCCATGGGCTTTGTTCCTTGAATCGTTGGTATGGCTTACCTCCCTACTAAATGCGAAGACTTGGAGAAAGAGAACTTCATTTTTCCCTTCACTGCATTCCCCACTAGAAATTACTGTAAAGAAAAATCCTCAATCATTTATCAAAAGAATCAAATGTTCTTCTAGGAATTTGGACACCAACAAAACAGAAATTTTCTTAAAGCTAATAGTTTTC